AGGGAAACCACCGAGTGTGAGCCCTGAACCGATTTCAGAATAGGAGAATTGTCAAAAGACAGGAGGTAAGTAATATTACTACTATTTTCAAAAATGAGGAAAAGGTCCATTCTGGATGCCAGACTAAGTGAAACACTGTTCCCTAGCATAATTTGAACATTGTTTTTAAACATATGGTTCATGCACATTTAGAGAAGAAACAGAAGTCTTTTACAAACCTGCAGACACTCATAAAAGGGAGTTGATGTCGAAATTAATCACATTTCCTATTATGAAGGAGGCTTTAAATTATCCATGGACAGGGAAAATGTTCAAATTGAGTGAATTTTGACTTAAAGGCATCTGGAAGATTCTGTGGTATTCTTTCAGATAAGGCAGAGAAGCATGGGTTAAATATTATGGTTAGTGTAGTTGTACCTGGTTGAACTAATAGTTCCAAAGAACGTCGGCTTTGTTCCTTATTTGGTCTCTGCTGGCATGATGTATGAGTTGGCCCTATGTCGCTGGGCATTTTTACCCTTAATGAAACCTGGGCTTTGCACCTGGCTTATAAGGATCATGGAGGACCATTGTGTTTTTACATGTGACTGAAGCCAAGTCGTGGATCACAGGCTGAAAATCTGATCTACTGTGCTTGGAATGAGAAAGATGCCAAAGGAGTCTACAAAGAACTTATGGCTGAGCCAGGGAGGTGAGACATGAAAACCATCTTAGAGCTCAGTTTCCTGTAATGAAGTTTTCAAGGAAGGAGAAACCAAAGCGGGCTAGACTTAACCTGCAGGCTTAGGCATTCTTTATCAAACCCCTGACTTACTGGGTGGGTGCCAGCAACTTTCACCATCACAAATGCTATGATTTCCACGTTTGTAGGGAACGCCCAGTGTTCATGGAACAATTTTATACTCTGTGCCTTGGTTGTTTGCATGTGATTATTTAGGCCGGCTGCTTTTTGTTCTTCCAATTGACCATTTTCCTAATTTAATATCAGTCCTTGGCAAACCCAGGAAGGATGGCTAAGATCGGTTCATGAGGTTAATGTCTTCAGCCAAAAGGGGGGTAGCTTTACCCTGAGGGTTTGGCGTTTTTTTTTTTTTTTTTTTTTGGAGAGATTTTCACTGTAGGGCGCGTGCGCTCGCCAGACAGACAGAGAGAGACATAGAGACAGAAAGCGAGAAATCACCCCCCAGGGGGGATGGTCACGCCGCAATCCCTTCCCCTCCATTCTCCTCTTGGGATCTTGGGCACGCACGCACACGCGCCCGGCGTGAGTTTTAAGCCACCGGGTCCGGGACACGAACCGCGGTCGACTACGTGGGAGTCCAGCGACATAGCCATTACGCTAACTGCTGGTTCCCTAGGCATTCTTTATCAAACCCCTGACTTACTGGGTGGGTGCCAGCAACTTTCACCATCACAAATGCTATGATTTCCACGTTTGTAGGGAACGCCCAGTGTTCATGGAACAATTTTATACTCTGTGCCTTGGTTGTTTGCATGTGATTATTTAGGCCGGCTGCTTTTTGTTCTTCCAATTGACCATTTTCCTAATTTAATATCAGTCCTTGGCAAACCCAGGAAGGATGGCTAAGATCGGTTCATGAGGTTAATGTCTTCAGCTAATGGCTAAAATAAAAAGTTTGATTTTAACTGCTTAAAACAAACTTGTTGCCCATTAAGACAGGTATTAAGGGCTGCCTGGCTATGTTTACTGAGTGTATTATTTTAACTTTCAGTTCATTTATTGAGCGTCTTCTACAAGAGTTGTAAATGCAAAAGGCTACAGGGCCCAGATAGCCAACAAGGGAGAGAAAGAAGAGGGGAACTGTGGTAAACGGGACAACATACCCTCTTTAGAGAGAGCAGGTGGCATGCAGCTCCAGCTAACAGAGCCATGCATGAGTGCTTGCTTGCTCAAGGCTGCCAGATATTCTGATGTTTTAAGAAACCAG